GGTAGAACGTATGGGGGAGCGACCAAGGGACGAGCATAATTAAGTAGTTGAGGGGGAGTCGTCCACGGTCAAAACATGGAAGGCCAGCAAGGAAACATACTAACTGCCGCAACAGTTAGGATGAGCGGGAAATTAATAAGATAGATATTCTGAGAAGTTATTCAGCAAATGATAATTAGAGTAACAAAACCATATCTTAGTATATTATTCAGTATAAGTTAAATAGAGTAAATAAGGCTAAATATATTCGTATCAGATAATTGTAGTAAATAAGTATTCATATCAGATAATTATAGGAACTAGGTATTAAGTTTCTTAATATTCAGTTACTTTTGGGGAGGGATATATTAATTAGTATAAAATAAAGGGGAAAGCCCCCTTAGGGTTTAAAGGCCATGCTTTTGATTGTGAGTTGTTGTAAGAGACAGGTTATGCTTCTCAGGTAACTCACGGAGAATTGTGCTCCCAGTTATTGTTTGTTTTCCTTGGGATTCAGTTCTATTTCCAATTCAATTTAAAAGAGTTTATTCAAGCTACTTTCCATTGTTCCTGTCTGTGAGAGGTGTGAAGGAAAGATTCTAGTTACTAGTTCCATTAACCGGATACGTAACAATTGTCCGACCTGCCAGGAGATTGATAAGAAGGCGATGAGAAACCAGGCTCGATACTGTTGAAAGAGGCAAAAGAATTCATGGAGGGAAGGGTGAATGCGATCGAAGGAAGGACTGAAAGGGCATGGGGCGGAATGTGATTGAAACTGGGAAAAACATGGAGATGTCCAGAGCGGCGAAAAATCAACAGCCACTCCGCAAGGAATTTTGCAAAGAACGATGATGAAATGATTGGATGGGAAGACGAGAAACCGGAAAGAAGAATATAAATGTGGATGAAAAGTGCCCCCCAGGGAGGATCGGTGTGAAGGGAAAAAAAAAAAAAAGGAGGACCAACCACAAGGATGAAAGAGGGGGCAGAGAGAAAAGCGAGAGGGGGGACGCCAAGAGGATCTAAACTGAAAAGAAGAAGAAAAGGGTGGGAATGCCAAATTTTGAAGGGGTTGATCCGTTTGAATTGGAATTCATAGGGCTTGGCAATTTTTTGGAAACTACAAGGGATTCTGCGAGAGAAAGAAACAAGTTGCGGACCTAGCTTACATAGCATGGAAGGGAGTGTTTGTTATTGGTTTAGATTTTGGAGGCAAAAAAAAAAAAAAAAACCAGAAATTCTTTCATGGAGTGGGGGTTAAAAGGATGCAAATGGGTGGTCCGGTGTTTGGAGTCGAAAGCCAGGGACGATCTTTGAAAGGTTGGCAATTCCATTAGGCAGAAGTTCAGGGTCAGGAGTCAGGGGTGCAGTGGGAAGATTTACATAACAAGATTTCGAAGTCTTCTTGGTGGGACAGACGTCCAGAAGTACCTGAGAAACATACTTCATGGGCAGGGGGTTACAGGAGGGGTTACAGGTTTGGCTGCTAGATCCACAAGGAAGTGATAACCGCTATTTGGAAGAAATGGCAAGGGATGCAGAAGGGGGGAGCTCCCAAGGGAAGGCGCGGGAGAACGGGAGGTGGAAGTAAAAGTATTGAGCAGAAGAAATCAATCCCGGGGAGAAAAGGGACCGAACGGGTCTAGGGCACGCGTTGGAGGGGCACAGTCGAACCAAACCCAAAGCCGATGGATTCGAAGAAGGAGTGACTGTAAGGAAACCGAGCCAGAAACCACGGAGAAACAGGGGCCGGAGAGGGAAAGGAGATGGATCAACACAGGGAGTTGCGATTAGGCCTACTGGTCGGTCAAACAACCAAAGAGGAAAGAAAAAGAAAAGAAAGAACCATAAGGAGGAATCTACCTTATGCGGGATAATTTGTGTGTGGAAAACGAAAGGGAGAAGAAGGAAAAAGATGTTTAGGCAAGATGTTTTAGGTTGTGGGGGGACCGTTTGGTCCAGGCCACCAATGCTCGGAAAAAGGAGGCTACAAATGGACAAATATTGGCAGGAAGATTGAGGGAGAAGACGAAGAAGGGGAAGGAAAAGGGAGGACCGAAAACTTGGGACAGATGATGAGATGGGACGCTGGTCAGGGGCCTTCTTCGGCTGGAGGGCTAAACCCAGCCCAAAACGATTAAAACGATTAAGTTGCATGGACAGGATTAGGAGGAAAAAAACAGGTTGTTGATTTTGATTTGATAGTGGGCGTAGCCACAACTTTTCATCAGTTAACGAATTGGTAAAAAAAAAAATTGGTGGATTGACCATTTGGGGGACACTCCACCTTATTTGGTGAGTTTGGGGAGATGGAACAGAAGGGGCAGAAGACAAAAGGGGATGCTGCTGAAGAGGGTTATTGATTCACATGGGAAGAAGGAGACGAGGATTACCGAAACAGTTCTATTTGTCAACAACTAGGAGGAGTTTGATGTGATTACTTTGGGGTGGAGGGAGTGGGGTTAGCCAGGCTAGGGAGAGGTAAAATTGACTGAGGAGAATTATTAAACCATGGGTGGTTTCAATCAAGGAGGCAAAAGAAAAAAGAAAGAGAAAAACATAATAAAGGGGGACCCTACTTTTAGCTCGGAAGGATGGTTTGATCTGGGAAAAGCGCTGTTGTTCAAGAAAGAAGATAAAAAAGGAAAAACTACAAATTCTTGGTTGAATTAAGACCCTGGTGCATTTCAAGAATACTTGTCCTTGTTTCAAATTCGGCAAGTTGTACCTAACCGCTAACCCCATAAAAGAGTGAAAAAAAATTTCATATTATCTGTGCTAACCTTACTAAAGTCAATTTGCACATTGGCAATACTCTATAAAACCTAAAAAAAAACTAAAAATTCATCATCATAATATCTTTCCTTTGCTATGTTTGAGTTGAACAACATTCAGACCACTAAATTGTGTGCTGATATACAAAAACTTAACTAGAAAACTTTAAGGGTCTTGTTGGCTATGGGGGGCCTTCTTTCAAATTGAGTGCTTTGAATTTTACATTGATCATAGCCGTGTCTTATCCTTGTTTATCTTCACTTACTGTCTTTATTTTGCAGTTGTGGCAAATTAATGCGGCTGAACAAACGATTTTGGATGATATGGCAATTAATCCTGATAAATATAAAGGTAAAAAGGTGTCAGATTTGAGTGATGATGAAGATTTTGATGAACAAAATGCTGTTCAGCATTCCGAAGTTAAATATAAAAATACAGTAATACAAAAAATTACTCTGGTGAGTATCATTCTTGTGAATTTGCATCTATGGTTGGGGATTTGTTTACCTGTTTTGACTTTTAACACTTTGGCAGAAAACAAGCGTAAAAGAGCTTGATTTGGAGGCTGCACTTGCCGAGCGTGAGGTCACCTATCCTTTTTGGCTAAAGCGTTTTCTGTTATTGTTGCAATGCATATTTTAGAGCTTGTTAAGAAGGGCCACCTTTTGCAGGCGGAAACGCCTTTAATTTTATTATTGATATTTTTTTCAAATTGTAGAGTTCCTATTTTCAAAATCTGATGTTACCCTTCTGGTACGCAGCACCATGTTAAACTAAGGAAAGAAGCAACGGACAGAGGTGAAAAATACAAAATTACCAAACTGAGGCGAAATATTGAGATGGATGAGTATGACTACATGCATTGGCGAAGATCATTTGAGGAAAGAGAAGCATTGATTAGAGACATAAGCTGGTACTATTCTGTTGATATTGATAAGCATACTTCCTTGTAATGATGCGTTGATTATTTAACTGCTATTTCTCCCTTTTGCAGTCGCAAAGCTCTTGGTCTTCCATTGGAAGAGCCTGGAAGATATGTGGATGCTAGTCATTTTGATAAAGACAAATATGATCCGACGAGTCCTCTGTATCGTTATGACTACTGGGGGGAACCTAAGAATTCAGAGAAGAGCATTCAAGAGCGGATGACTGATATTCATAACAAAAAAATTGTGGGCAAGGCAGATGTCTGGTATTCAATGTCTTACGATGATTGCATCAAGGAACAGATGGAAAGGGAAGCCCAGCCAAAGGAACAGGAAGGCAAAGGTGAGGATAATCAAAATGAAGATGAGGATGATGAGGATGACGAAGACTATTTTGACTTCAGTATTCTGAACAGTGTAGATACTAATTTCCCAGATCAGCCTCATGTTAATGGGACCGAGTCTTCTACAGTCTCAGGTGAGGGCATGTTTGAGGACTGATGTATGCAGAGCATTATGTAGCAAAATTAGAATGTACAGTTAGGCTGAGAAATGTGCAAAATTTTTGGCTGTCTCATGTATTCAAAATGGCAATCTAATTTATTTGTACGAAAATTTTCCTGTGCATGCACTTTTATCAAGTTGAAAAAATATATCACTGTATCAAGACATTCTGTGAAAATGTTCAACCATGCAGTTGTGAACTTTACTGTTTAAGCAAAATATTAAATTAAGTTATTGTAAAATTGTTTCGAACCTTTTGCTATTTAAGAAATGTAACTAACTGCGATTTATGGGATGCTTTTTTTATTAATAACGCGGGATATTTTTTCTAGACGTGTTTCTGGTAACCCCTGATCTATTCAACGACGCTTCAAAATGCATTATTAGGTTATCATTTTTGTTCTCCTAATGTCCCTCATTCTGGTCTCTAGCTCATATTCACGAGTTAGCGCTAATTGAAACACGCATAGAAAATGGTCAGTATTAAGTTATAAGCACATGTCCGTGAAAATAGTGTCATTGCGGTCGTTTTCCTTTTCCCAAAACCACAACCTTTGCTTTACCATAAATTTAATCTTTGACATTAAACCCACCAGTACGTACCTCTAGCTATTAGTTTCACCGACCAAGAGTCAGTTCCAGACATGAGCCACAACACGTCATGAATTTGTGGACTAAAATAATCAATCTACAATTTTTGTATCAAGACAAGTATTTACTTGCTTTTAAATAATATGCTACTTTAATCTTGCAGCTCAAGAAAACCAAAGATTAGGAAAATAACAAACTAACAATCGGAATCAAAGGAAAGAATAAATAGAAAGAATTGATTTTTACCCTGGCTCAAATATTTTACATTGTCAGAGAAGCTAAACTACTTAGAAGTCAGACACAGAACTCGTTACAAATGAGTTCATTTTTACAAGCAAAATTGGACATCCTGATTGATACAAACTTCCCATCCGAAGCCCTTCGATAAATGGGGGCCGCGAGCTAGCTATCCACATTTTCAGAAATCATTTCTCAAGTTAAAACAAAAATAATCAGAAAGAAGCAAAACCAAAACCAATATTCACTTCTTTTCTATAAGTTTTCGCTATCCATCTTCAAACTTAGGTGTGAACTAGCATCAGACCATACAAATAGTGATATATTCCGCACCCCATAGCCACAAAAAATGCAGCATCCCTCCTTAGTCAAGCAACTGGGGGCAAGAACCACCGTTTGTGTATTTTTTGCCCAAAATAATGTCACAATCAGTCAATTTCTCCTTCTTCCACATCATTTGATGGTCCTGCAGCACCACTCAGAGGCAGCTCCTCCTCTTCCTCCTCCTCATCATCCTTCATATACAAACCTAGTTGTTCTAAGGGATTCCCCTGTAGGTTGATCATACCCAATCCATTTTGAGGTAGATCTGCGCTTGTCTCCTCTTTGAAACTTGGCATAGGTTCGTCATGTACAGCACTCAGCATCTCAAGATCTTCCAAAAATTGACTGCTCTCGTTTATATCGACAGTTTTCTCCATCTGCAAACAGAATCATTCAGTGCAACATACAGGAATGCTGCATTTGCATCCTAACATACTTTGGTTTTTAATAGTTACCTTTTGCAAAGCTTGACGGGCTGCTTCCCTTTCCAGTTCCCTTTTCCTTTTGGCTTCAGCGGCAGCTTCTGCTTCAGCCTTCCTCCGAGCTTCTTCTGCAGCCTTTGCCTCTGCCTGTAACCGTGCTTTCTCTAATGCACATCATAAACAAAATTAGAACTCAGTTGAATCTTGAATACGAGGCAATACTTTAACAAAACTCTATTTAGAATAACGAACATACCTTCTTTCTGCCGCCTTTCAAGTTCTTCTCGCTCCAACCTCAGTTTTTCAGGATCCCGCTTTTCATCCTGAGATCAATACAGATGGAATAACAAATATAAAAAACTTAAAAAAAATGCTGGCACAGCTTTCATGAAAGACAATAATGTTGGTAAATTGGTAATTACTAGATTTAATGATACCTTAGCAGCCACAGATATGCTCTATTGGTAGGAAGAAAGAACAAAAAAAGACTTATGTTTATCAAATGTCTGTTTTTTCACCCAATAGACCCGTTCTATTGATGCAAGGAATTAAAATTGCAATCAGTGCATTACCCCCTTAACAAACCTTTTCAAGGGCTTTCTCTTGAGCTTTAAGAATGGTGTCAGCAAAACGGCTCCTTAATAAAGCTGCACGGTACAGCTTTTCGGGAGAGACTTGCCTCTTAGATGCAGCACTCTCCCCTAAAATGTCACAGCATGAACGGTGAGATCATACCCTCAAAACAAACAAAAGGTTTCTTCAATTTTTCAAGCTTACCCTCTTGATGGCTTTCTGGTTCAGAAGCAACAAGCTTACTCTGGAAAGTCTGCTCAACTTGGCCTCCCACATTTGTTGAATCTAAAGAAAGAAATCATGAACAAGAAGGCAACAGTAGCTGAGGCATCCTCATGAAAAATAATGCCAACAAACCATAATATGGACATCATTACAGACATCAACATTGGTACCTACCCTTTCCTGTGTCCGAATTACCAGGATCCCCTTTGTTTTGATCTAAAGTCGAACCAGAACCTACATTTTCCTGCAATATATAGCTTTGTGTAAGCAAAGATAATGTCAAATCACTACCCTTTCCTATTTTATCTGAATACCATGACATCTAAAACCGTTAGCATCCATTTACCTTGGTACCACTAAGAGGTTCTGATGTTTTAGCCATATCCAATTCACTTCCAGATGAACTACCCGAGTCTGAATCTGTTGCACCACAATAGCACTCAATCATTTGCATACGACAGACAAGAATAAATTATTCCAACATAGAACTCGTATTATAAGTGATTAATTTTGCCAGGATTATGAACCAAACAAGCAGAGTTGCCAGTATCTAATGAATTTAAAAGAAACTATTGAAAGAAAAACAAATCCTGAAAAGTGAAACATGTATGCACTACACGAACCACTGGATGAAGTGCCAGATTCACTACTAGAACTGCTTGAACTACTGCATTTACTGTTTCTATTGGTACCATCTTTGTCAATCTCTAATGGAGGATAAGTTGAAATAGGAGGATCATTTCCACCAACAATGTCCACATCCTCCTCCACCTGTTCATTGCCTGCATTTTTGGGGAGAAATAAAAGACCACATACTGTGTCAATTATTTATATAAAGTAAGGGTACGAAAAGCATAGCAGCACAATAAAAAGAATATACCTTTGCAAGGCTGCACCGGTGAATTACTGAACCCTGATTCATTCAGAAGCTGTATAAAAATCAAGCAAGCAAAAAATTGTCAGTCCATATGATACACATAATCAAGGAACCACCTATCTTGTCTAAGACTCTCAAAACACTACATTGAATTTTTTTGGCGTCAAATTTCATGAATTAATTTAGCGGTCATCATAAGACAACTCTTCTTATAACTTGATAGAAAATAAAATTAGTCGATCTACCTTTTCTTGTGGTATCATACTCTTTTAATATAAATTTCCAGAACAACTATTCAATAAAAGACTTAATTGAGGGTATAAAATTTGTCACAAAAATATCACATATGCTGGACAAAATGTATTAGTTATACAGAGAGGGGGGGTGAGAGACCTCCATTTCACATTGTCCAGCTTTTGCCTGAGATCTCTGCTTCTCCAGCAAATAATCATCCAGAAGCTTCCGCAGTTTGAACAGGGTCTCATCACTAAGAGCATCAATATCGATTTCAATTTCATCATCATTGGTTTGCCCTGCATTATAACTTTGCTCTCTCAAGAAATCAACAATAGCATCAGGCAGCTCTCCAAGCATGGCCTCCAACTCTACACTCAATTTATGCTTCTCCTCTACAGTCATGATTATTTTAAGAGGCTCAGGCTTGACATTATTTGATGTTATTTTCTTCTTTTTTGAGGGAGGAACTCGATCAGAAATTTCAGTTTCCATACGCGTAGGTCTAGAAGGCTCAGATGGGACACAGTCAATAACAGGAATTTTTTTTTCTATCGCCTTCCATCTCGATTCAAAAATTTTATGAAGGGTATCAGCCATGACGTGTACATCATTGCCAGGTGGATTATATGTCATTGCATTTGAGAAAGTCAGTCGCACATCAGCAGCAAAATCCATGAGATTCGTGTATTCACCAGAGGTTATTCTCCTCTTCACAGTACCCAAATCCATTGGATGTTTGATGACAGTGAAATAATCCGGAATGTTCAATTTAACAACATCAACAGGTGTGTTGAAAACCCAACCAAATTGATGAGTCATCAATCGGTTAAGTAATGACTCACACGGTTTCATCATCGCAGCATGTGAGGCCACTGGCGCAGCAGGTTTTGGAAGTTCAGGACGCCCAGATATACTTTTCTTTGTCCTGGGACCACTATTTCCTGGTAAGGGCCTTTTCTTACCATGTGGCACCGATACTTCCATTGCCAAAGGCTGGCTCTCCAGCTTAGGCCTCTTCTGCCCTGCACTGCAGCTCCTAATGTCACTGGAGGGTGATAACACTAGAGCATTTGAGTTAATAGCTTCAACTTTCTTCTGAAATTCCTTTACTTGTTCAAGTTCCCATGTCAACCTTGTTTTCAAATCCTTTCTCTCAAAACCCGACATCCTTGACAAAGAGAAAAGTTGAAAAGGTACATCAAAACTACCATAACCACCTGTGCTCAAACCAGGGCACTTCCTCTTTGGTGCACAAGAATCTGCTGATGCCGTAAGCTCGGTATCAACCCTTCCCAAGCTGCCCAACCCTTCCGATTCACCCATAGTCTCAACAGCATGCCGAAAATCAGGAACAAAACCAGTAGCATAAGCTTTGGAATATTTCCTAGATTTCCCCATATTCTGTGAATGAGAGTACTTTCTGGATTCCTTTTGTCCAGCAAACTCTATAGGTACAGTAGGTGCCATAAGATAAAACTCCAACAACTGCACATATCAACGCCGACAACAAATTTTACTCCCACACAATAATCTCTGTAAAAAAACCCAATACCCCGAAGCACAAATCAAGTCTTATCCTCCAAATTTTAAAGCAAAATATCATAAAACCCAGTGACGGGTGTACTTCTCTCATACCCTATCGGCTTATGTCAGTTTGTCCGTTTCCCAATTCGCTTCCAATAAAAAAAATGTCGAAAGAAAGACGAGGCTTTCCGCTTCGAGGGCGCAATAGCAATCGCGACTTATTCAGATGCGAAATTCCTCAAAAATCCCTATTTGGCACAGCGAAGTGAGCAATGACACGCTCATTATTTAAAATCGAGGAGAGAAACAAGAAACCAAAGAATTGCGAAAACGGAAAGGAAAGTAAAAAGAATAACCGAAGCATAAACCCTAGATCTCGAGAATGCGCGATGGAAGGGAAAGAAAAATGTTGGAAACCCTAAGTAGAATCCAATCGAGAACCTGGGTGTGTATAGCGTGACGTCCCAAATGCAATGTGGGGGAAACCCTAACAGCGACGGCTTTCCATTGCAGACGCTCACCACCTTCTTCTTAACTCAGCGCAACACAGAATGAAAGCAAATCGCGAAGAAACGCAAACGCTGAGATGCCAAAAGGGTTAGATCGCTCTCTCCTCTTTCCACTTAAAGACTCCTTTCATTTCCTCAATCTCAAGATCCCACGGCCCACACTCCATCACGCCTCCATCTTAATCGCACGCTCACTGATGCATTTTCTCCTTCGCTCCCTCTCTATATATATATATATATATATACATACCACACTTTTCCTTTTAGGTAATTATAATAATATATTTAATCAGCATTTTTATGTATATAATATAATATACGCAACTTATACTTTTTTCTTTATATACCTATATGCATATTAATCCTTTTTTCCTTTCTTTATATTCAGAATTTAAATCTATTATATTTATTAATCAAGCAGGATTCACGTGCTGGTTCTTTTTATTTTGAATTTTTAAATCATAAAATGTGTAGTTATAATAATTGAGAAATTACGATAAATATATTTTAAGATTTGATGATTCAATTTAGTAATATATTATATATTTTGACTCAATTTTGTTTATAGTATTGTTGGTTATTCTTAATAAAAAAAATTCTAATTTTATTCGTTTTATTATTAAAATCATTTTGATAATAATTTTTTGTATATTTACTTTAACTCATAATTACATAAATTATTATCAGATGATTTTTATGATATTTGAACAATAAAATTAATAAAATTAGAATATTTATTAATTTAAATTAACAATAATATTAATATATGTTGTAATACATATAATTGGAAATTATTTTTATTATTTTTAGGGTTAAATATATTTTTAATTTTATCAAGTACTTTTGGGGGTTTGTTTCTTTTCTAAACTTTGTTTCACTTCGATACTCTTCCTTAAGAAAATTATAATTTTTAGTTTTACAAAAGCAATCGTGTTAAATTTTGTCTAAGGTAGGTAACTTTCTGTCTCTCCACAACCTCCAATGACTAAGTCGCGTTCAACTTCCTCGCCCAGTCCCTCTTTGTGGCCTACCCCGCCTTCACCAAACTGGATCGTGACGGCCCAAAGATAGTGCAGAAATGGGTTCTCTTCCAGTCCTTCGCCTAGGTTCGCCTAGGTCTTCCTCAGTTTATTGAAGGATCCTCACTTTATGTAGGTGTGAGAAAGATGATTATCGTAGTCTTGTTCTGTTGTTCTTAGTTTTCCTGCAAGTTATTTGAACTCGTGGTGTAGATTGGAGAACTTTGACGAACGAATTGGGGTTTTGCAGGTATCATGATTTTGATTTGGGGCTTTCGAATGGAAAACACGAATTGGGGATAGGGTACTGCGACGCTGAAAGGGGCGAGAAGAATTGTTAAATTGCACTCGCGATTTCCTCTTATTATCGGGTTCAGAAGCATGCAGGAGAAGATGTCATTTGTTTATGGATGCGCTAGGTGGTCCATGGCATTTGCGCAAGGGTTTCACTATTTCTGCGTTTTGTGAATATTTTTTGTGTTTCAAGTTGATGAAGGAAGACGAATATAGCTTAGGCTTTTGGTGGCGGCGGCTAGGGTTTCACTCCTGAGGGAAGATGGTGATGTTGTGATAGCTAATGTGTTAAGGTTACTGATGTGACACTCTTTCATTGTTTTTGGAGAGTGGGAGTTTTTGGATAACGAGACACACCGGTAGTCACCTCAAACAAAGAGTGGAAGTTTTTGGATAACGAGGCACACAGGTAGTCACCTCAAACAAAAAATTATAGTTTCCTTAAAGAAGAAGATCAAAGTGAAACAAAGTTTGGAAGAGAAAATAAAAATAAAACAAAGTTTGAAAGAGAGACAAAATCAATATTTAACCTTATTTTTAATTATAAAATTAATAAAATTAGAATATATTTTGATTCAGATATACCATTAATATTAATATATGTTGTAATACTTGGATGAAAAATGTAATATAGAATACCATATATAATTACTTTATTTGTATTGAATAATAAATATATTATTTGATTTGGATGTTTAAAAAAGAATTTTAAAATATCATTTTTATAAATTAAAATTAAATAAAATAATAATTACGTCTACTAAAATTTGATGAATTTAAAATAATTATCAAAGAGAAAAAAGAACACAGTAAATATTATCATCAAAATCATTTGCCATTTTAAAGAAGAAAACAAAGAAACAGAGTGAGTATGATCACTTATATGTAATTACTTTTTTATCAATATATTAAATTGCAAAGAATTCAAAGATAAGTATCGTCACTTATTAAAAATTCTAAAGTAAAATATAAAATACAAATATATAATCTGACAAATATATAAGTACATGATTATTAGTGATTAGGGCTTTATTCATCCCATTTTGGTTATTACATATTTAACTCAGTATAACAATTATTTATTCCAAGTATAACAATTGAAAAAATTAAAACGGATATTGATCAAATAATGTATAAAAATATTTAATGATATTCAATACAAATAATATACAATAATGAAGGATTGAATTGTGTACTTAAATTTTTTTTTAGAATTGATTGCAAAGCTTCAGTTGATAAACATTAAGAAACAAAATTTAATGCTACACAAAAACATTATCAACCAAGTTTTCTAAAAGATTGATGAAAATGTAATTATAAACTAATAAACAAAGTATATAAAATACTTTCCAAAGATCATTTTCATAAATTTCTCATTTAAATTGGTCAACCATATATAATGTAAAAAAATAAGGGTTAAAAAAGATTTACAAAGTGTATTCTATATCAATTTGTCTAAGGACTCAAACTATGTTTAATTATTTATGAACGCGATCAAGTGTAAGAACTTAAAAGGGTTAAATATGTTTTTAGTCCCTAAACTATTAGTCATTTCTGGTTTTCGTCCCTCTTTCAAAGTAAGGTACAATTTGGTCCTCATTCTTTTCGAAACGTTCGTTTTAGTCCTCGGAACTTTGATTTTAGTCCTCATTTTGTTGCTAAATGAGGACCAAATTTTTAAACGGTGTTAGTTTTCGAGGACTAAAACGAACGTTTTCGAAAAGAATGAGGACCAAATTGTACCTTACTTTGAAAGAGGGACGAAAACCAGAAATTGTCAATAGTTTAGGGACTAAAAACATATTTAACCCAACTTAAAAAATTAAAAGTCAATCGTTTATAAGATTTATTTTATTTAAAAGATTTTCTAAGAGATAAACTGGTTCATTAATTATTTGGTTTAAAAAGATTTGTTTTATTTGAAAAAAGTTCTAAAAAATAAAATGGTATGTTAATTGTTGGTTTAATACATCATTTGGTCCCTACTTTTGGGGGTTTTGTTCAAAATGGTCCCACCTTTTGAAAAAATTCAGTAAAGTCCCATATTTTGGTTTAAAATGTTCAATTCGGTCCTTTTCGTGGACGGCGTTAGAAACTTAACAGTGGTGGTGCTTCTGTGGCGAAATTTGAGTGAGCTGTTATGTTTTGATGGTTACGTGGCACTGTAAATTGGGGAAATATCCTAAATTGGGGAAAACCCTAAAGTTTTAATAACCCTAAACCCTAAATTAGAATCAGAAACCCAAAATTAGAGAAAAATCCCCAATATCAAAACCCCGACCCTCAACCGGTTAGTCTTTCTCATATTTCCCTCCAACAGCACCGCAGGGGATTGAGGGATAGGAGAATGAGACTTTCCCTTAATGTTGCAAGGAGGTTTTTTGGTTTGCAAGATATGTTGGGCTTTGACAAAGCTAGCAATACCGTGGAGTGGCTGCTGAACCAAGCAAAAGCTAAAATCAATCGTCTAGCGAAGGAGAAAAAGAAGTAGAAGAAGAGTGTTCACCGCAGTTGCTGCAGTGCTGGTTCGGAATGTGAAGAAGGTGTGTCTAGTCTGGATGAGGTTGCAGGGAGTAGAGATGAAGAAAAAGCAGGAGAAGATTGGGGATTTTTCCCCAATTTAGGGCTTCTGATTCTAATTTCCACTTAAGGTCCCCAATTTAGGATATTTCCCCAATTTACAATGCCACGTAACCATCAAAACATAAAAGATCACTCAAATTTCGCCACAGTGGCACCACCACCGTTAAGTTTCTAACGACGTCCACGAAAAGGACCGAATTGAACATTTTAAACCAAAATATGGGACCTTACTGAACTTTTTCAAAAGGTGGGACCATTTTGAACAAAACTCTCAAAAGTAGGGACCAAATGATGTATTAAACCTTAATTGTTTAGTTTAAAAATTTCTCATTTATTTAAAAGATTTTCAAAGACATTTAGAAAAATCATTTCATTTAAATTATTTTCTAAGAAATAAACTAGTTTATCAATTATTTAGTTTAAAAAAATTTGTTTCATTTAAAAGATTTTCTAAGAGATATATTAATAGTTTAATTTAGAAGATTTATTTCGTTTAAAATATTTTTTAAGAGATAATTTTTTTATTTATTATTTAATTTAAAAAAGTTTATTTTATTTAGAAGATTTTGTAAAAGATAAATTGGTTTATTAATTATTTAATTTAAAAGATATGTTTCGTTTAGAAGACTTGTTAAGAGATAAAATGGTTTATTAATTATTTAATTTAAAAATAATTGTAGGAGATAAAATTATTGATATGGTGCATGAGATCTATTAAATAATTTAACACAAAATAGAATGTTTGTAAAAAAAATCTATAATATATTAAAAAAACAATACATAACGTCAATCGATTATAATATTATACTAAGGTATAAGATCTAAGAAAAATATAGGATTTTAGAATAAAATAGTATTGAGACTTGAGTATATATATTTTTTTAAGAGATTACATGTTTTGTGTAACTCACTTGTAAAGAGCTTTTTATTATAACATAAATATTATGCTAGTTATTTATTTTGTTGATATGCAACATTATTGTATGGTTGTTAAATTTGTGATGTTTGATATTTTCAATGTAATGTGTAGGCTTGCTGATAAAAATGGTTGCTAAGAATTAAATTAATGGGAGTTCAAAACCTAAGAAGAGAGGTTTAATGGGAAACCTTTGTTTATTTAGTTATATTTTTGCTTAAGGACAAAAATGTCTTTTCTCTTTGTGGTGTAGAAATTATAAATGGGACATAGGAAGTAAAGGTCTACACTTGAAATAAAATAAGCTAAAAATAATAATAAAAGATTTAAAATGTAGTTGTATGTTTTTAGAAAACCAGTTGGGATATTATAAGAAGTATTATTTAGGCG